CTTTCAATGCCTTCAATGCTATCCTCTATTCATATCAAGTATTACGCAATCAATGGTTCACTCATTTAGTGCTCATTTAGAGTCCATTTGTCTTAACATTGATTTGATTAGTAATGAAATGTCAATTCATTTGAGGACTAATCGAAAGACAATCACTTTTTGAACAAAAAATAAAGTATTGTTGAAATATTTGAAATGTAAAGGCATTGGAGTAGAGGTGCGAACGGGAAATGCGTGGGTTTGAGGGAAAACAATAGAATGAAAGGCAGAGAAAACGTGGCATTTATTCATGAATTGAGTCATAGGTTAGCCAACGGGTAGTGTGGGGTATGGGGTGTAAGGGTTGGCCAAAACGTGGTAAAAATTCTATAATTGTTTGTCTATTAAGGGTTCGAACCGTATGTTTGAGTCATGTATTGACTAATTATAATAAATGGTAAACAAGTGCTAAAGTGTTGACTTAAATAAAGGTTAAAACTATTTATAAATATCGTATAGTTTTATAGAGTTATTCGAAATGATTATACGTTTACTTATTGTAAACATAAATTGTTTTTTACATTTGTCTGTCAATACATGTATTGTTATTGAGGTTTAAATGACACAAATATTTTTATTTTCAATTTAATGGTTGCATCAAAACATAGATTAGTTTTTAATGCATTATAGGCTATAATTTATAGCTCATAAATAGTGATCAATTGTGGCATTGAATGAACAATGAATTGTAGAATAAGAATGAAGTGATTGTACTATAATTGCCATATATTACAATTACGATGACCATGGTAATCATGAATCAACTGACCATATCATTTGTAAAGTGGTGACCCCCTCACTAAGATCAGCTATGCTTAAAATGATGGTTAAACACATCCACTTTAAATGATATATACATGTATATTAATAGAGCTAAAAACATGATTAGACATGTTATGGTGACATTTAGGCAATAATTAGGGTCTTTCTGAATCTTTAGGCGCAACCATTTATATTAGCGACATCTTTGTTGTACATATTTACTAAATAAATGACTAATTTTTGTAATTTAAACTAATTTAACTATTATTACAAAAAATATTTACATGCTATATAATCATAGCATTTTATTTGTCGTAAATTATTCGTTATTTTGTAATATCAAACTTCAAAAAATATTTTTTAAGTAAAATATTCTCACAACAAATAACAGAATTTGAAAGAATTTTTACTAAATTAAAAATATTAAGAAAACCAAATAACTTTTTTAAAACTTGTTTTAAATGATAAATCTTCCAATTAATATGCTGATTATACATTGCTGTATATTTCAGCTCTTTAACTAAAAAAATGAAAATTTCAAATTCCTATAAAAATTTCGGCTAAAGTTTCAAAATTTATTTGAATATTTCACTGAAATGTTCATCCCTAATTATGGTACTGGTATGAATTGTATAATGGTGACAATGAGAAACACGAATATGGTCACATTTAGATTCCATAAATGTGAGATTAATAGTGGTTATACTGTAAAAAGTAATTATAGTTAACATACAGTTTACGACCACTTTTATCACTAAAGGAATTGTCGTTCAAAATATGTTTACTATTTGTTACAATCGTTTTCATATCGTTTTATTGAGTAATTGTTGAGAAAATGTGGATAACCTTCGAGTCTATGAAACAAGTGTTTGTTTGATGCAAAGCCGGAGGGGTTTTTGGTTTTGTATGTTTGCTTCACTTGATATTAAATCATACCATAAAGTCTATGCCATAGACTTACCATGTATTCAATCAAATAAGACCCAAAAACCATCATATAATGTATTTGACAATACAGACAATGATTTTTAAGTTAGCTCATGATTTGTATTACTGGTCGCTATTATATAACATTATGGTTAAATTGTAATGAATATTAAAAATATACATTATTATTATTTTGACCACCAATTCTATACTTTAACAAGCTAAAAACTAGAAATTATTCTCTGTATACTACAGTGTTAAATATACGCGTTGTAATGACCGTGGTACTTTTTAAAAATAAAATAATATGTATTGTAATGTTTAAGACAGTCGTAATTTTATTAATTTATTTAATGAAGATAAAACCAGTTTTTAAATACATTTATGTCAACGATATATATTTTGTAAAATTGATATATTTTTAGATAAAAAACACTTAATATTTAACAATAAATTTCTGATTAATTTGTTTAAATAATGATTTAAGAAATGGATAACAATTTAATGATTGATTGATTACTTTAATTGTTTGTCAAATTGTTTGCCTTGTATTGAGAGGTAGACGACTGATGGTATGGCTCTCGGGCCGAAAAGTCGGTGTTTTGTTTAGTCAACTGATCCGATTGGAAATGCATGTTCGGTGCGCCGGTCGGCACTACCATCTGGTCGTACTCCACGACCTTTTTCCTGTCATTCAAATCAATAATAGGCTTTCAAATGGGGTTTCAAATAATCACTTGTATTGTGTATACGGACCCGAAGCACGTCAGGACACGTGCTTTAATCCAGGGATAGATTTTGAATTCGGATATTCCGGGAAAGAGTCCCGGATTTATGGCTCCGATGTAATACCAGAGGAATATGAATGTTATGAATGCCGACAACGCGTACCCCCACTGAACCAAAAACATGATAATCACTTTAATTATGGCCCCAATTATAATAACCCATCGGTTTATTAGACACGAATACCAGACGTTTTGTTTGCTTTTAATCTCGTTTGGATCGGCTCTGGGGTCGTGTCCGACAGAGCTATCGGTGCTGTCAAACGACTCGTCGGCACTACTGGCGCCGCTCTGGTCGTGAGTCTGGCCTTTGGGTGCGTCGGGCGAGCGGTCCACAGATGAGGAGCGGCTACTGCTCTGACTACTCACCTGACGCTTCACTTTAATGTGCTTTGTTTGCACTCTTTCGGGGAACAGACGGTCCAAATCATTGCTCTGTATATCGCATACAATATAACAGAAAATGAATTATTAGTGTCAAATTAGATCCATTAACAAACCTTAACGGATCCATAGTCTGAATGTTTTGAGCTCTTGGGTTTGACTGATGTGTCAAACGTAGGACTCGTCACTTCTGCGGAGGCCATGAATCGGGACTCTCTGTTGATCTGAATGTCGAAAGTCATGGCCAGTGAGAAGTAGGCGTACTCTACGGTTGCATAAGTCAATAGGTATGGGATTGTGACGATCGGCGCCAAGACATTGATGTTCCCAATCATTATGAATATGAATGTCACGATCGAGAAGAGTATTAATGCATTGACCGGAACTAAAAGGAAATTAATTTCATAAAAGTCATTAATATATGTAATAAATGGTTAAGTGTGGTAATAATGAGACCTTTATTGGGTCCGCGACCGACCGACAGGACTCTCATAACTGGTATAATGTTTTCATTGGCAATGTTTTGTATAATACGCGGCGTTGCGTAGAGAGAGCCCAAACTGTAAGAGAGGGCCGATATGTAGAGACCGAGCAATAGAAACACTCCGACCGACGAAGCCTTTTGTGCGATCATATAGTCGTTAAGCAGAGCAGAGCGACTGCAGGTGGCTGTCGGACACATACCACAGATGGACACACAATTAGATGGATTGCAAATGGATTCAGTAAGTGATGCTTACCTCCCAATCCGAGTGCAAACAACAAATACAAGAATAGAGTGGTTCCGATGGCACTGAATGTGCCGATTGGTATGCTTTTGCTGGGATTGTGGAGATCTCCACTCATATTAATTCCGGCCATAACTCCGGTCACCGCCGGGAAGAACACTCCAAAAGCATTAAATAAACTTACTTTTGGTTCATTAGTATTTGGTTCCCAATTATTCTCGATATTCTTAATGCTATATCCAATCACTCCATTGCCTTTACAAATACAGTAAAGTTATATTATTAATAACAGAATTTAAATTTAATATATGAAAACTAATACTAGGATCGTATCGAATGAAGATTCCGACCATAAAATCAATGGCCGATAGGAATAAGAAGAATAGGAGAATGAATTGCAAACGGATAACCCATTTGACTCCCAAGATGTTTATGGACAACAAGAGCACCACAAGACCGACACCAATGCCTCTCTCCACCCAAATATCGTTTGCATTCAAGAGTCGAGACAATGTTTCGGCAAAACCCATGACATGCAGAGCACAGGAAACAGCCTGTCGTCAGAGGGTTTTGGGAAGGATTATGGCATCACTTATAGGTATTGCAAGGCATCTAAACTACTCACTTGACCGAAGCTGTATATTATGCAAACGGCGGCCCCTATTCTGGAGCCCAAGACATTGGAGATGAGTGCGTGAACATTACCCCGTCGTAAATGATCGTTTCGCTCGCAAATACCAATTCCGGCCAAAACGGCCAGAGAACAGATGACAACACTACTTAATATGATCACAATCGACAATCCTATGCCAGCGTTTCCCTGTATTTACCCAACATATCATTTAATTCTGTGATAAACTATAACTATATTAATAAATCATACAATAAGTAGAAGTATTTCACATACAATATCTTTATTAACTACTTTTTTGGTCGGAAAGAGATTATGTAATCGTTGCTAAATATGAACAACTTTTATCATTTAGTAGGATCAATAAAAAGTTAACTATTTTTCGCATTAATATTCTGCTGTACTGTAGTTGATATGCAATACATGTATACTTTGTATTCATTAACTATACTTTCCAGTGAATGACTCTAATCTGTGGGCGAAACTCATTTATAGACACAAAATTTTCCAGAATATTGATATTCAATTCTCGTACTATTTATTGTATTTTTATATTTTGATTACATACAGAATCTATATATTTCTATCATTTCAATGAGTTTGGGCTAAATTATAGAAATAAAACTAAAATTTTAATAAAAATATAACACAAATAGAGGTATTTTCGACTAAATACTAATGTAAAATTTGATATTAATATTTAATACAAAAGATTAAATTAATTTACATATTCATATAAATTTACAATACATGTCAGTTTGTATGATGTATAAAATGATAGCAAGTTAATATCTTTATCAATATAGTTAATGTTATTTTTACAATATTTTTGATAGAATTTAATGTATTATTTACGACATACTTAAGAATATTCTGTAATTATATTACTATTAATCTTTTGTATGATGGATAATATTTTTCAAAATAATACATATGTTTATAAAATGATCATTTTTTACATGAAGGTTATTGACGGCAATATAAAAATGAGAATATTCTTCATTTCGGGTTTATATATAAAAACCTTTACTTTTTAAATAATCATTTAATGAAATCACATCCATATGTTTGAGCCATTAATCAATTTGTAAATAAATGCTTGTGTTTGACATATAATCGATTACTTACCACAAGCCAACCGGCCCTCAGGAAAGTGATTACACCAAACAAGTGAATAACACATGAAGTATAGACTCCATCCCAGGTTCCAAACAATATGGGTTGGGATAGAAAGAAATTGGATTTCCACCACTGCTTCCCAAATCCATCCTATTATTTGACAAATTTTTAAATATAAAAGTCGTTTAAGTGTTTTGACAAACTCTTTAAACTTCAAACACAATAATAACCTGATCTTCGAGATAGAGCTCGTTGTGGGCCAAGCCGTGCACATGGGATGCATCGGCACCCGATGCTAAAGCGGTTCTCTGTTCATAGGAATCGGTGTCTAAGCCATACTGCGCCCAATTTATGTGTTTGGGCGACGAATTGTCACTTTGCTTAACATTTGACATATTTATCAAATCATTAGTTACTAAATATAACTCATATTGAAATCAATTGTTCCGACTGTTAGGCGAATACATAAACATATGTTTGGGCGACAAATCCCATTGCTTGGAATGATCAGCGGAACTATAAAATGAATGGTCTTAGAAAACCAATTCTACGCTAACACTACTCCTAACCCTAACTCTACAGTTATTACAGCACATGTCAACCAATTGATGGCAGACTTTCACTTCCATTCAGTATTTAGTGCCACTGAAAACACACAACGAATACACTCTTAAATATCGATTGACTATACAATTCAGTTCTGTTCTCACTTTTGCGCAAAATATATTTCTATGGTCTCACAGACTTTCACTTCCATTCAGTATTTAGTGCCACTGAAAACACACAACGAATACACTCTTAAATATCGATTGACTATACAATTCAGTTCTGTTCTCACTTTTGCGCAAAATATATTTCTATGGTCTCCACTTCCTATCACCTGTTCTCTCACTATTCGCATATTCCTTATCCAGTATTGCATTTCTATTGTCATATACAAGGAATTGAATTTAACTATAGCAACTATTTTTACCGATTAAGTCTATTGACGGCTTAAAATAGTTTTATTAATAATAGTATTACCCCAGACTCGGGATTTGAACCAATTGTAATGTTGATCTGAATTTGATATTGAATTGGGGTCTTATATTTACCTACAATGCAATTCTCTGGTCATAAATTTGTCAAACATTGTCTATATAGCGATGACAACAACTTAATCACAACAAATTGTTTACACAGTAAAAGTAATGAATAAATGACAAACTTATAAATTATTTTAAGACATATCACTTATTCTGTCAAAAAATAATTATTTATTATGAAAAATAAAATGAAAAACTTATACATTTAATGATATAATAAACATTTGATGAGTTTCTAACATTATTTTGTACGTCTGGACGACATTCCAGAAGTTTCAATGAGTTTTTGGTCACTTTTTTCTTGTTCTTCGCAGAGCTTCGCGTACTTTTCAAAAGCGACCGTTTCTTCGCCCATCTCTTCATCGAAAGATCGTTTGTATTCATTAGAGTCCGGATTATTGATCTGATTTCGACACAATTCTAGTTTCTTTTCGATGGCTTTCACCTGTTCTTTGGGTGGTGTCGACACCGACTTAATCATTGACCACAAGGCTATCAATACAAGTACAATATCGTTACAATTTCTGCTATTTATGTTTCTATTAAATACTAACCGCTCATCACTTTTTGCAAATGTTGTATTTCATTGATTCGGTCGACAAATAATAAATCCTTTAAATAACTAAAATATATTTCAATAAAAAGTGATTGAAAATGTAATGGAAATGTTATACCGGTCTAAATTGATCTTCAAATTACTGGCCGCGTATACAACAGCCGATAACGCAATCTATAATTGAAAACACGTTTAGTTTCAATGATAACACCAAAAGACAATAACTCGTGATTACCTGCGAAGGGCTAAACAGAAAGCAGGCGTCTGTGAAGAGTGACATATCGATGAAATGGTCGATATGTGGCCTCAACTTCTCGGGATCACCGCATTGGGGGTAACGAGTCTGTCAGTGTTGTCAATACAATAATACAATCAATAAATTATGTGTCAATCGATGGCAAAGATTATACTTTTAAGTCAATGAGAAAGCCTTCAATTGGACGCAAAGGATTGTAAACATTTAAATGATATTTCAATTGTTGCATAAGAAGTAACTCATTGTTAAGGACAATATCGGAGGCCTTCGCGCGATCGCCCTTAACGTTGGCCACAAATTGATTCATCGATACATTAAACTCATCCACTTTTGCGGCCAAATAAACACACGTAACGATTATGTGCTTCGGATGGAAATCCATGACTGAATTGTTGAGATAAAAGCGCTTAAAATATTGAAACGCCGTTCCCTACCATTAGTGACAAAACACAAGACATTATATTGGATTCAATGGAGTGATAATATAGTTCGCAAACACTTACGATCACAGACTTAGGCATCGGCGGTGAGAATTTGCGGCAAAAGTCACGTAACATTGTTTCGTATGATTTGGTGAAAAGTGACTCTTCGTGTGGACTCAGATACTTGTCGTAAACGTTATCCTTTTGGACAATAAAATGCATTCAATGTATTATCAATGGAAAGACATATAAAGGTTACCATCAATTGGTGGCCATCGCGGGCCGTAATGAACGCCATATTCGCATCGCTTCTCAATTGATTCAACTCTTCTTCGGATGAAAACATCCAAAACTTGTTTTGAGTGGACGTCGAGAACATGACCGCAGAGTTGGCCACTTCTTCGGCCACTTCTTCGGCCGTGTGTTATGAGTGCTGTTATGGATGTTATGGACAGACAGTTGTGGCAAACATTCACATGAAATGAGTGCCAAAAATCATAACAAACGAAAAGCACATGAATTTTGATTGCATTCAAAGCAATGAAAGCATTGACTGACGAGAGAGGGCTTTACAGGGCTTTAGTCACCACTAATTCTATCACAACTTTCTATGATTTGAAACAACTTTTGAAACTTTCAAACTTTGATGTGGTATTGAAATACTGGTTTGAAATCACATATAATTTACATTATTGTTATCTAATATTAACAACACTATTAGTGTACACAATATAATGTATGGGAACACACAATATATTCCCGGTTTATACCGGAAACTAAATTTGCATTCAATTCCATATACTTTATGAGTAAATATTGATTTTACTGTTTAGACACTCATTCAAAGTAATGCTTTAACTTTTTTGGCATTAATTACCAGAATTTGCATTACCATAAGAATGACCATATGTTATGTATTGTACATGCATTTCAAATAACAATACAGTTTATTATTAATATCGATAACGATATTCATATTGTATTAGTTATTGATATCAAGGTATGACTCGTGATTGTAAGACACGTTTAAAACAGTATAACTAAACACTCGCTAAACTAACTGTGATTCATGATTAGCGGATTTCACGTATTATTGATTAAAATAAAAAATATTTATATCAACAAAAATAAGATAAAAATATTACCTGTTATTTGATTGTGAAACGCATAACAAGTTATTATGAATTTACTGGTATTTATATACATTTGATATGAAAGCGAGACTTAATTTTACAATAAGTTATATCGAGTTCTTTGTTTAGATTTAATTTTTCATTTGGCTTTCATTTCATTAATTTTTTTACAAGTTTTACAAATTATTAAACAATTTTGGCAGATAAAATAATTTTTTATCCAAATAACGACATTGTTGTTTTTGGCTAATGTTCTAAATTGATTTGTATAATGCATTGAAATAGTTACTTTACATGATTTAATGTAATTCAATTAGTGTACGACATATTAAATAAATGTTATACAAAGTTATTTAAATATATTTTAGACGACAATATGAATTATTCATTGATTTAAAAATAATTAGTTAATAAGACTTAAAAATGTCAGTGAAATTCAGGTGAATATCAGTGGAAATTATTTGCGACAAATGTCTCTCTTCT